CTGAAATAACTAATAATATTGTCATTGCTCTCAACGTTTCCATTTTTCTGTGTTACCAGGCTGTTGAGATGATGCGGTCTGTTTACTTATATCTAAGATTGTATGGCTTAGCAGGGGTAATACTTGATTCATGATAGGAATTGAGTCATCAGTCTTTGTCATCAGGAGGCTGGAGTCTTGATTTGGATTATGGATCACTGCTTGCCCGCTTGAGGGACATGTGGGCTCTGTACAACCTGCACCTACGTATGCCTGGGTCTAAATCTCAAGGAAGGTAGAAGTTTCTTACATTTAAGGAACGTTAATTGCTGCTCCTCTCTGCTTGGGATATTGGCAGCGTCAGCTCCCATCACGGAGGTCTGGGAGAGCTCAGCATCCCAGGGCATGGAGCTTTTATTAAATTAAAAAAAAAACAAAACAAAACAAAAAAAACCCACAAGCAGGTGGTCTGTAATGTAAAGCCTACCTACCGTGGTGATGTCTGATCTCATTAATGACACACAGTGAATCAGCGCTGTGTGTCTCCTTCCCTGGCCGCCTCTTGTCAGGCTTGCTTGGTGGTCATGGAGGATTTGTAGCTCTGCGTCTGTAAAAATGAACTTTGGCCAATTTCAAAGCAGCACTTTGTCATGAATTGTCAAAAACCCCAGGCTGAAGCGCTAGGAAGAGTGTTATACGAACGTATGAAAAGCTGCATTGTCCCGCTGTAAAATGAAAAGGAAAAAAAAAAAAAAGGTGTAACAATGGAAAAGAGTATGTTGGCCCGAACTGTCCGTGTTTCAAGGAAAGGCAAGCTTAACCTGCTGTAAGGCAGGGTTACTTCCTGTTAGCAAAACCCCCCGAAGGGAGAGGGAGAAAAATGTAAAAAGATACTTTACAGTAAAACAATATACTCATTTTACTGGGAGATCAAAGTTTCTTTTTTTTTTTTTTTTAAAAAAAAAAAAGAGCTTTTGAAAACCTACCCTTGGCTTCACAGAATATTTTTAACTCCTCCATTATCATATGGTTTTCACTAAGTCATTATTTAAAAATTGAACTGTTGTCTTTTTCTTGCGTAGGGAAAAATGACTTTTCTCCGAATGCAATTATGATTTTGGTCCTTTTTCTCCTCTAAGCAGCTGAACTTTTACAACTAGGATCTGTATTTGCTGAATGGTATTAACGGAGTCATTCTGCTTTCTGTTGCTTCGAGTTTTCTTCTCCTGCACCTCCCAAAGCATTACACTTGCATGTCTCTGTTCATTAGTTCTAAAGTCTTTCTTCAGCTGGGATAATAGAAAAAACATATATTGCTAGTCATCCAGTTGCAATTCTAGCTATTCTCAGAGGGGCATATATATTTCAAGTTTGGTGCATGGGGATTTAGATATACAATTCCAGATAGTCTTAATGAGAGTAACAGTCCTAATTCTCCACACAGTATATTAAAAACGGATCCAGAATGTACAGAGTGGAACTCTGTGATCTTACTTTTAAGTACCTCTGCCTTTTTAGTTTTGGTTTTTGTTTTTTTTTTTTTTCTAAATATCATTTGCATCTGCATTCGTCAGCAAAGGCAATAGACAGCTGCTTTGCGGATAAGGGAGTTGATCTTTGGAGACCATGTCTGGTTTGCTTTGCTGGGTTTTCCTGGGGACTGACTGCGCCTGCGTGTACCTTTGGAATTGAAAGGTTAATTCAAGAGGGACTCTGAGGAAAGAATTTACCAAATTGGCTCCGTTATTATTCTGATTGCCTTTGATGTTAGACAAGAACAAGGTGCACCTTTTCTTATTGCCTTAATTAACTACCAAAAAAAAAAATCCCCACCATACTGTGAATTTAATAAGGATTAAGATTTAGTTATAATATTAGTACAAGATCTATGGAAGACACTTTTCATGCAGAAGGATGCAGTGGTTTTATACCTGAAATTCCTAAGGGATCTTGTTTTTTTTTTTAATTCTTTCTTAGATATCCTTTTGTTGTCGTAAAATGCTAAGAAGCATCCATCATCTTTTTTTATTTTAGACCCCATTCCTAGTTTTGTTCACACCTTTCTTTTCTCTCTTTCCAATCACAGTTGTGGGAATTCCCAGACCTTATGAGCCAAATACCACTGGTGGCAATTCTTTTAGCTGGGAAGGGGTGCAGCGCAGAAGGGAAGGCTGTCTCCAGCGTGAATACTCCGGGCAACTCTTCTTTCATTTGTTCAGCTCCACCTTGTAAGATGTTAGAGAGGAGAGGTGTGACCTGCAGACAGCTCCTTTGCCCGCTGTGGTCTCCACTGTTTTATTTTGCCATTGCAGCCCATTTTCTCCACCCTGACGATTCGTGCTGCAGTTTCGGATACCGATGTCCAGCCATAGCAAACAGCCTCTCCTGGGGACACAGCAGTGATTTGAACGGTCTGACAATCACAGTGAAGAAGCCGTTTGCCTTCACCACACACGTATTTGTTACACAGGCTTCTTGATTTTCTTGATATGAAGGCAAATTATCTCTTACTGTGATGCTGCCTTGGATGATCAGAAACTCTTTTCTCCTTTCCACTTTCTTCTACTCTCTGTTTTCTCCTGGCCAGTAAGCTATTTTAATTTAAAAGATGATTTAAAGAGATAATCTGTTTTCCATTCAAGTTCTTTCTGTGGCTTAGCTGCCCTCTTTTTTTTTTTTTTTTTTTTCCCCTCTATCCTTCTAGTATCTTGGCTGCCTTTGTGAAAAGACTTCCTTTGCCGCCGCTCTGCAGTTACTTAATGCTACCTGCTGCTTTCTTCATCTTCTCCTACTGTGCTCCTGCTTTCTACCTCTTCCCACAAACACTCTTTGATGCCCACGACCCCATTAATCTGTCCCAATGTTTCTTCCCTCTATATGTCATAAAACATTTGTAGAAACACAGCTTCAAACTGCAGGTACAGGATCGGTCAGGGAATGGAGGGAGGAACAAATCGCTGCATGTGCATAAGCTCCAACTGGGTGCGTGCACAGAGTTGAGTCTATCCAGTTTGCTGAGAGTATTTGCATCAAAACGATCTTCATCTGAGAAGAGAGCTAGGTTTTGACAAAAGATAAGGCAAATATTTGCAGTGTGTGAAAAGCAAGGGGGACAAGCAAGTTATACCAGAGGGAAGAGGGAGAGCTTGGATGCTAGCCTAGAATTTGGGAGCTCTGTGTGCACTTTCTTGCTTTGACTGGATTTTCTGTATGGCTGTGAAATTGCTTAGGACAGGATTTATCTCAATGGATTTAATTAGAAAAAAGTTAATTTTTCTGTCTCTGCTGATCTTCAGGGATCCCTCACTGGAGGATCCCCTGAGAAGTTGACTCCTCCCTGTATGGGCAGTTGAGTTTACAGAAGAAACATGTTAAAAATCTTTCTGATCTGGACGGAAAGGGAAAAACACTAGCTGCTGTTCCCAAATATCTCTGCTTTCCCCAGAAATACAGGGTGACTGAAAAGAAACATCCAGATCACTAGAATGTGTAGGGGACCATAATTTTGTGGCAAAGAATATTTCTCATCTAATTGTAAGTGGATTAAAGATTCGAAAAGTGAATTCAAAACTTCCCGCACTGCACTGCAGGGTTGAATTTTACTTAATGACTACGAGATAAGTGTCTAACATGGTGTGGCGTTTCGGCCTTCCTTGTGGATTGGATCAAAGAAGAAAACCACTTTTAATCTTCCCTCTGTCCTCAACCAAGACATTGGAAGGAAGCGTTTGGAGAGGGGCAGCTGCTGAGAATGAGTCAGCAGAGAAAAGAATTATGTGGCTGCTTTTAAAAAAGTGTTTGTCATGGAGCACCAGTAGTTTATTAAATGTGTTATGTCCACAACAGACAAAGAGACAAGCATTGCCTGGTTTGTTTGGTTTTATGGTTAGGTCTGAAACCAGTTGGGGTTTTTTTCCCTCGTACCTCCCACATCTCTCAGTTGCCTTCTTTCACCAATTTTTTAATAGCTATTGGTCATTTCCCTCCACATAAATCTTTAGGTCTTGAGTCAGTCTGTGACTAGGACTGCCAGTAGAAAATTTATGCACATTATTAAAGAAGAAGAGCAGAGTCATGCTGTTTTCATGGCCATGTGGGTGCCTGCCTACCAGGGACAACCACTACAGCATGGTTTATAGGCACAGAAAATAATTCCCATCTGCACTTTCTTTCTTCCCCCTTGTTGATCCCAGTGCCCTTTCCATGTTGACCCTAATTCTTTGGATTTCATCTCCTGATTTTCTTTTTTTCCTATTCTATGCCTTCTCCCTCCAAAACTCTGCCTAAAATGCACCTTGGCAAATGGACACTTCTGTGTGCTTACATGACAAATTTTCTGGGGTTTGGCTGGCAGTAGCGGTGGTCAGCTTGAATCATCTTCAAGGTTTGTATAGCGCGGAGTTTACCCAGCTAGCTCTATTGCTTTTGACATAGCAGGGTCCTGTGGTTGTAGCTGCTGTGCAACATCCTTCTCATCAAAACAATTTCAGGGGAAAGCATATCTTGTACAAATCAGACCTTTTTGCTGCTGGTTCCTGCTGTGGCTTTGCACAGGGCATTAAAAATGTTGGAAACGGGTGCTGCTTCTGAGGCACCCTGATCCCCAAACCACTTGGGACCTCAGTTTTCATTACAGCCACCGGTGGATCCCTAGCTATAATTTTGATCAGGTTTAACCAATCTAAAATGTTCCTCTCAAGTGAATAAGAGATAAAAGCCACATAGCGTACCTTTTTGTCAGAGGTGTCTTGGCTCCTTCCACGCTGCCCATCAGAGAGTATCTAAATTATTTAGAAAAGCAGTTTATTTTTATGAAGAGTATCCTCTGTGATTTTTTTTATCAGTATCATCTTGTTGCAGTACAGCTGCATGGCAGTCATGATAAAATCTGTATCAGTTACTTTAAAAATATACGACTGAAAGCAGTTTTGCAGGAAATAAAAATTTTGAGGATTAGAGGGCTGAGAAGAAAAATGTTCCCGTGTTATAGAATTTGGGGTTGTTTTTTATGTTTTTCACAGGAACACAAATGCTGTCGGGAAGCAAGAAGCAGCAATGCACCACGGACAGGAGCAGCACAACGGCCTCTGGCTCTCTTCCCAATACAGCATCCAGAAAGGCAATCATTGCTGCTACTGATGGCTCATCAAAAAAGAGAGATCCCTCCAAAGGCACCTCCAAATCCAAAGAGATCCAAGCACAGGGTGTCCTGAAACCAAAAATGTTTGTCTCCGACAGTATGTGCAACAGAAAGGCTTCATCGAGAAACCTCTTGGAAGAAAATGTTTGCAGGCAAAACCAGCTCCTAAAAAGTAAGGTACAAATCCTACTGTGGTTGTTAGGAATATGGTTTCAATAACAAGATGAGATCAGTCTCAAAGAAAAAAATGAAATAATGGAAAGTCAGCCCATTTTTGTCCAGCTTTAAGTGCTGAGCATGAGTCATCTGGTGAGAGATCAATCAGCTAATCTGACTGTATACATTGCTATGGTTAATAGAAAACAAGATTAAATAGAGAAAGATAGGCTTACTTTGTAAGTAGATTCAAGAAAATCTTGAAAAAACATTAAAATTGCAGAGTCAAGCAGTCCCAGTCCAACCAAGAAACACCAGAAGTGAGACTATTTTCACAACCTTGTTTTGATACCTTTCTTTCACTTCTGCAGTCTTCGGGGTTTTTGACACGACAGCCTGAACTATGTGGTACGTGGGTATAGCATGAAATAATTCATTTGGAGAGATTATCATGAAGAAAAAAAAGAAGAAACAAGTTTTAACAATTGATTATCACCAAGGTTTCAGCATGTAAAACCTAATTTCTTCTAGCTCAGCACCTGTTTGGATGCCTTCATTCCAACACTTACTCAAATACCTAAATGGAGATGACACAAGCAGCTGTATTCGTACATAAGGTGCCTTTGAAGATGACAACTGAGATAGCCTATAGATTAATTTGGCTTTAGTGTCAATAGGTTTGTGAGAAATTTACTCCAAGAATACCTTAGAAATGCTATAATGGTCATAGAGCCTTTAGAAAAAAAGCATTGTTTCTTACAGATTTTTCATAGGCAGGTAGGCAAAACTCTTCCATTAGCGACTACAAAGCTACTGAACACAAGACCTGTTTGGAGGAGAGACGCCTACGTTCTGCTTTCAGTGCCTGAAGTTAAATCAGGCCATTTCGCTAACTGGAAGTGACTTAGTTTTGCAAAAGTGAAGCATCCACTGAGACCTATCAAAGATAAAGTTAATCACCACCTCTGTAAACCTGGCTTATCAAGGAGTTTAACTTCATGTTCACGGGTTTCGAGGGGTTTTTTCCAAAATGTTAACAAGAACGGTATTAGGGAGGAAATACAGTTCAGGCTTTTATAAGGCAAATGTACCCAACACAGATCATTTTAATATTTTTTTTTAAGTACAATATAATATGTACAATATGTCACAAAGAGGAAAATATTTTAAGTTTATTGTAACCAAAAATTGAAATAAAATTGTAATGGGCTTTATTCCCAGATATTTAGCTCTAGAAATCAAATTATTTGGCAAGGAAGAAGTACTCCAGTGTGATTTTTTTTTTTCAAAATAGTTCATGTGGCGCTCTTCTGAAGTTCCTTTGTTATTTTGGATTCATTCTGTCCTCTAAATGAGAATCTTGTCAACTCTGATTTTTGAGCACATAGCCTCTTTTGGACCTAATTTGTGCAGGGAGTATCAGTCATAGAGCAGTAAAGCATAATTAAAAGTTTAAAGCATAATTAAGAGTGTAGAAAATAAACTTTTTTTCTCAATGGAGGACTTTGTGAATTGACAGCTCTTGTAATAATATGCTATAACACATAATAAACTTTTTAATTTTTTTTTTTTTCATGGAGTCTTTCCACTGGCTGATGAATACATAGAAATGAAAGAAAGCAAACAGTATTATCAGCAAAGAAAAAACAAGAGTGCATTATAACAAGAGACGTAAGAAAGTCTCAGGATGGTCAAAGAGAAATGATATGTGATTAAGGTCCATAACAATCTGTTATTTCCTACGATACGTGCAAAAAATTGAAATGAACTCAAACCACAAGTGGCAGCGTGATATCCTTTGCCTTCCACGATGCAACGGTGTTACAGCAGCGTCTTGCTTTTTGGGAAGCGAATACCAGCAAATGGAGCTAAGCATCCAAGCGGTTTAATTACGCTTCAATGTGATGTCTGGCTTAATGTGAAAGATACTCTGGGTGTCACAGGGCAGTGAGTAGCACCTATGATTAGATTTGATCTATTCTGCTTAATGAGGCCTATTAATAATACCTTGGCATTCTTATTTCAGAAATCGCCCTCTATGTCTAATGAGGTGGAGAACCCAATAAAAAATTAACCATGCACTCTTAATGAACTTTTAAATCTCTCGAAGGTGATTATGAATTCTGTGGTTCAAGTGACAAAATAAAGGAGCGTAAGGGGGAGGACAAGCAGGAGCGAGCCAGCAGGGTAACACTATCCACGGCTCGCTCGCCAGATGTTCCTCGTGAGAAAAACGACGCGCTCACCCAGCCAGAAACCGACTCCCAGCCTGAGAAAACTCCACCAGCCCCACAGACGCTGCGGGTAAAATATCAATTTGTTGTTATTGTTGTTGCTAATATGTGGGTTGGTTTGTTTATTTATTTATTTCCCTTCCCCCCCTGTTTTTTCCCTCCCCGTTTCTCCCCACCCCCCGTTTTTTCCCCCCATTTTTTTTTCCATTTTTCTTCTTTTGCTTTCATGGGTGGTGGTTGCTCTCTGGGAAGCGGATGAGGGCAGAAGTTCACATTTCCTTGATTTTTCTCCTTTCCAGTGAGGTTTTGGTAGCTTGCATCAGCTGCCAAGACTTGCTTGGTTGTCTGGTTGTAAAAGTTCCCCATTCTAAGCCCCATCGTGTAGAGGAACATGGTAAATGTTTGGGGATTCACAGATTTCCCATGACGTCCGGCACCACGAGCGGCATCCATAGGCACAGACACGATCCCAGGGCGATACCAAGCCCCAGCAGCAGACGTGCCGTCCTGCCTTCCCCTTCGGCGCGTGTCGCAGACCAATCTCTGCTCCTGTCTTCTCTCCTAAGACATTCCTAAATGTTGAAGCAGCCTTCGACTGGAAAGTGTTTCCTTTCTGGATCTGCCTGACAATCTAAATAAACAGGAAAGTTTGTGAACTGTCAGGGACAAGCTGCTTCGGCGATGGGGTGAGAGAAGGAAATAGGCAAAGCATCAAGAACTTGAATTTGGATAACTTATAAAAATATGTAATTCAAAACCTTTTGGATATGTTTTCTGACAGTTGGAGGGTTTTTTTCAGAAATTCTCCTTGGTCTGATCTGGACATTTCACACCGAGGCAGCTTTCGAACAGTAAAAGGAAGTGAAGACAGATAGGAGGGCAGTTTGCTGACTTCGTGCAGACGAGCAACCCTTTGCATTGATAACCTCTTACCGAACCCAGTTAGATGCACATCGGGTTTTTTTCCTTCCTTTTAATTTTTTTAAAATGAAGCATTTTCTCTGTTTCCCTTAGGAAGCACTAGAAATCCATAAGCCTCAGTTCATCTCTCGTTCCCAAGAAAGGCTGAAGAGACTGGAGCACATGGTCCAGCTGAGGAAAGCCCAGCAGGGCAATGCTCCCACAAGCAACCAAGGAGGGCTCGTTCGCAAGCTTTCCTCAACATCCACCTCAAGCAAAAAAAAGCAATACACCGTTCCTCACCCGCTCAGTGGTAAGTTGAATTGTGACTGGCAACAGCTCTGCAGCTGGCTTTGAAATCTTGCCAGGCGTAGTATTTCCATATTAACTTTGTGAAAAAACACGAGACCTCGCTGCTCCTGTTTCACCCCACCAGCGCTCCAGCATCTGTCCTAATGCTCAAAGGACAAAGTCTCTGAAGCACAGAGATGGGTTAGTGAGGATGAGGTGTTTCCTGTGGTGTGTGGCAGCAGAAGACGACTCCCTTGGGGACTTCTTGTCGCTGTGGACTTCTTGTCGCTGTGGACTTCTTGTCGTTGTTGCATGCAGTTGTGTTCTTCAGCATGATGCAAGTTGCTGCTAGTTGTAGAGGTGACAGCAATAAATGGCATTTCATACCTCTCACAGCTCAGAAAAAACAGTTAGGGGAGAGAAGTGACAGGTAGGGAGACGGGTGGGATTTGGGAAGAGGAGTCCCAATCCAGTCTTCTCAGCAGCTTCAGGTGAGGACTTGCCACTGGACTCAGCAGTGAGCTAGCTGTGAAAGAACGCCTGCCTGCCCAGCAGCTGTATGCAAGGCTGCTAAATCAATGCATCTAAACCCTGTGATTTCCTAATTCAAGTTGATTAGGTTGTTTTATTACCCTAGTGGTAAACAGACTCAATATCCAGTGAGTAAAACTGTTCTCTCCAAGAAGCTCCCTCGCAGCTGCCTCCCAATAGCACCTCTGTAAATATTATCTAGGCACAAGATATTAAACAAATTGCTTTTGTAATTCTTTTTTTTTTTTTTTTGAATTGCCATCTGGCTGTTACTTAATTCGGTTGACTAAAGAAGAAGATTTATTTGATTGATTGGCATTCCTCTTTACACTTTGGTTTTAAATCTGGCTGCTTGAAGCCACATTTTTCTACTGAAAAGTAAATCAATTGGAAACATTAAACAACTATATGGATCACCTGGAGGAAGCAGGAAAGAAAACCGCTGTTGTCCTCAACACTGGGAAACATGTATGTTTTTTGCTCCCTAGGGAATGAGACTGGGTGCAGGAAAGCTGGGCACAGTCCCCATCTTGGGGTTCTCAGAATGCTTTGCACTGGGGAGTACCAACATCTGTCACTACCCCTGTGCCATTTGTTGTGCTATGACAGAGTCCACCTCACATCAGATATGTAACGGGTTTTTGAGGACAGGCTGAGAGAGCTGGGTTCATTCAGCCTTGGGAAAAGGAGGCTCAGAGAGGATCTCATCACCACGTACCAGTATTTAAAGGGTGGCTACAAGGAAGATGGAGACTCCCTTTTCAGAAGGAGTCACATGGAAAACTCGAGGGGTAATGGGTACAAGTTAATCCTGAGAAGATTCCCATTGGACATGAGAAGGAAATTTTTCACTGTAAGAACAGTCACCCATTGGAATGATCTCCCCAGGGGAGTGGTTGAGTCCGCCACACTGGACACGTTCAGGATGCAGCTGGACAGGGTGCTGGGCCATCTTGACTAGGCTGTGCGCTTGTCCACAAAGGTTAGGCCAGATGATCCTCAAGGTCCCTTCCAACCTAGGATTCTAGGATTCTATGATTTTTATACTAAGAGCTATACAAGCGTAAGTAAACAAAGCACAAAACATGAATTGTATTTTAAGGAGTTGATAAAATTCATTCACCACTTCAGTTATCCAAGTTAATTTACTTGGGTTAAGATCTCTCAGGGCCACGCTGCCCTGCGGTGTTGGGGGCTCTGTGCCAGCGCCAGCAAGCCCTCCCAGCAGGCAGTGGCACAGGTCAGGAGTTTGTCTTATATGTTAGAAGAAGTGGCAAATATCTCCCCCTTTTTTTGGTCGTCTTCGAAAGTCCCCCAAACCACTCCGCAAATGCTTTACGAAATGAAAAACGAAAGGTTAAACCTATTTCTCCTTAAATTATAATTAAAGATTAATCTTTATGCTTGTTTAATGAGTAATAAAAGCACAATATTGAAATCCATTCATTAATTATTCAAGTAAACTACTATTTCCCTATTTTAGTGGTTGGTCATTAAAGATAAATTTGTCTAAAGGGAATCTTTAGTTTCTGTAACTCATCCGCCTTCATGTAGCCACATGTAATTTTCTGTTTGTGAGATCTTAATATTCTTATAATGACAGAAATGGCACATGTCTATTATTTAAGCATGACTGTAATTAATATTGGAAATCCTAGATTCCTGATGAAGCACAGCTGCGGAGGCTGCAGTTCAGAGGGCGCTGTAGGAGTGTACTGAGATATTTAATTTGCTCTGAGTCCTGACAATTGATATTTTAGGACTTCTCCTGGTGGATGACACTGTGCAGAAGGATTAGTATCATAAATGAGTCCCAGACTGGGGGGGCTTTGTTTCCTACAGATGCTCCCAAACTTTTCTAGTTGCAGCCCCTCTTGCAGAGGAGGCGAGGGCTTCCCCCTCGTGCTCACCAAGGGCGCTGGCTGCCCGTATCCTTCTGACGCCTCTGCTGGGGGCACGGGGGTCACAGCTTTCTCCTTCCCTCCTGCTCAGCCCCCAAAGCTGGAGGGCAGAGAAGCTATCATTTTCTGTTGTCATTATTCTCTGGAAAAGCCATTTTAGCATGTAAAATGTGCTTTTGAAGCAAGTAAGGACTTTGTCTCATGTTTTAGAAAACAGAAGCAAAATGAAAAGAAAATGCAGCTGTAGTCCGGGTAGGGCATGCAAGCACAGTTTCATTTACCGAGACGGGAAGTGGACATCAAAATCCCAGGGATCCCAGGATGCCATTTCATATTATAAACTGGTGCAAGGGAGGCTGCGGGCACAGGCAGCAGTGTCCCAGCCTATTCTGTCACTGTGCGTGGCCCATCCGTGCCCCCATATTTCAGTTGGATCTAGCAGGAGCTGCTTTTGAATTCTTTTTTTTTTTTAAGTAGTATTCCCTCTTTGAGCTTTTATCAGCACAAACA